AGGGCCAAACAGCAGTTTGTAGTCTAAAGAAACTAAATCTTCAATATTGGACAACTTTTTCAAGTGATGTTGAAAAATGCTATAAATTTGGTCTATATTTTTTGTTCTTTTGTGTGGTTTTTTGTTTCGGGCCCTCGGGCCCCAAAGTTCAGAGTTGGCGGGGGTGCGCCAGCCAGGTCCGGTTAGAGCTGGCGGGGAGAGCAATGCAATACTTGAAGATGGGAGTCGTGGGTCAGAGCTGCAGGGTTGTGTCCCACTTCAAGTCTACTCCCACTGTCCACTGCGTCTGCACACAGCACCTTGGCCAGTCCCAAAGTTTAGAACTGGCGGGGGGGTCGTGAGCCGGGTCGGGTCAGAGCTGGCGGGGGGGTCATGAGCCGGGTCGGGGGGAGCAATGCGATACCTGAAGATGGGGGTCATGGGTCAGAGCTGCAGGGGTGTCGATGATCCCAATTTTGTTGGCAACATCCAAAGCATCATAGTTAGGAGCAAGTTGAATATAGGACTTTTCCTCTCCATTAGGCCTAATCAAGGTGTTGACCCACATCAAAGGATTTTTTTACAGCTTATTTAATTTGGTGCTTGTTGGCCTTGACATCCACAATGAACACAAGTATATTGTTATCTTCTGTCTTTTTCACGGCTGACTCAGTGGTCAGGGGAAGTTTGATTATGTCATAGTGGTCAACATTGTTTCTCCTGGGGGTGATCTTCCAGGGGTATTTGGGCTGCCTTCAGAGTCTCAGAGTCTTAGGCTGCCAGAAATTGGGTGACCTTTTTTTTTGACTGTGGATGTCCTTCAGGACTGCCTTCTTGGCCTTTAAGGCTTCAGTTTTGGGAGGGGCAGAGACTTCCTTCTTCGCTTTAGGCACCATCTTCGTAGAATGGGTCTCTCAAGCCTGTTCTAAAAGTAATTTTTATGGAAGCAGACTACCATGTCTTTTTCTGGTGCAACTCTCTGGCCGGTTTAAACTATTGATTTTTTTAGTTATCAAATGAATGCTTATCTACAGTACCCAGGGATCCTGATGGTAGTTTCAAACAAAACTTAACCCAACTTACTCTAATTTAGTCTACTGATATGCCTACTGGCCTCAGAATGCTCATAGGAGTGAGCTGATAAACAGATCTATGTTGCAGACAATTTCTTTCTAATAAGTTCACAAGAGTCTGGGTAGTTGGCTCTGAGCCTACCACGCCTTTCTTCTCTCTGGTCTCTACAGCTGGCTCCCACTGGAAGCACTTCCCTGCTGAACTCCATGGCTATCATCCAGAATCCTGTGAAAATCTGTGATCAGGTATTTGCCCTGATTGAAAATCTCACCCACCAGATCCGGGAACGGATGCAGGACCCCAAGTCTGTAGGTGGGTTATAAATACTGCTTTCTTCCCTTCAATGTCTCAGTGATGGACGGTGTAAAAAGAGTATGGGTGGCATGGGAGTGGCTATGTCTGACCTCCATTATCTCCACAAGGGAGATCAGTCTCCATCCATAATATCCATAACACCAAAGTGAGTTCTTTGGGGTCAGACATGCTCCCCAAACCTATTTCTACCAGTTCTAACACCCACCACCCTTCCTAGAGCTCTGTTATTGGGCTTATTAATCCATCACAGTGATCACACACAACTCACAGAATCATTCATGTTCACGTTTATAAGGTTTATTAAGGAAGTTAATAGGTAACAGTTGGGAATAGTCTGCATTTCTTCAGTCAATACAGATTCTCAAACATGCTACAGACTCTTTTACCTTTAGCCTTTTGGTTTTAGGTTAGTGTTGTGAAGCTTTCTTAGTTCTGCCAATAATGACATCTCCCCTTCCACCACCTCCAACTCTCCTCAGTCTCCAACAAGCTTAGTCAAAATCCCTGGCTCTGACTTCATGGAACAGCAGTCTCAGGCCAGCTCTATCTCATTAGTCTTTGCTTCTCCACTGATATTGTTGCTGCTCTTACTTAGGTTCCAATCTGACTAATGTAGGAATTTCTGGCCCAAATGTTGTGTGCTATATTCTTTGTTTCTTCTTTCTTGCTGGTAGCAAGATTCCCAGTTTCTACCACTGAACCTGCTCCATTTAAATATCACAGAATGAAAAACCTGGCCAGCTCCTTCATCGATGATATATATATATGCTTCCATCCATCCATATGGCAAAAGTCAAAGGCAATAGCCTAGGAAAGTAATTTTGAACAATAAACTCATTACACTGCATACTTGTGGGTATCTCAGACACTGTTGTCTCATATCCTAAATATCTGAGACAAGGAATCTTCTGATCTCTGGTTGGTTCTTCTTCAGACTTGTCAGTGTCTTTTGAGGTAAAATATTTGACTCTGCCTGCCTTCCTTCTAGACCTGCAGCTCTATCACAGTGAAACATTAGAGCTAATGCTACAGCGCTGGAGCAAATTGGAGCGTGACTTTCGACAGAAAAGTGGGCGCTATGACATCAGTAAGATACCAGATATCTATGACTGTGTCAAGTATGATGTGCAGCACAATGGAAGTCTGGGACTTCAAGGCACAGCAGAGCTACTCCGTCTTTCTAAGGCACTGGCTGATGTGGTCATTCCACAGGTATGTCTCACATAAGATAACTTAGTTATTTGGAGCTGCTATATTAGAAATGCCACAAGAGGATGACTTTAAAAATTTGTTTATTATAGCTTAGAAGGCTAGAAGTTTGAATTCTGAGCATCAACTCTAGTGGATGGCTTTCTCTCTCTGTTGGACCTGGAAGAAAGTCCTTACCTCTTTAGCTTCTGCTTCTTGCTTCTCTTGAGAACTCCATGTGCCTTAGCATCTATCTTACCTGAGCTTGCTTCTGCTTGCTTATTTGTTTACTCTCTTTTATATCTCAAAAGAAATTGGTTTAAAATGTGCCTTAAACTAATCCTTCATTAACATAATAGGCATCTTGTTCCCAAGTGTGTTTATAACCATAGGCATTGAAATTAGGATTTATCCGTACCTCACTCCATAAACAAAAACCAACTCAAAGTGAATCAAGGACCTAGGACTAAAACCAAGGACTATGAACTTCATTAGAGAAAAGCTTGGAAGTCCTAATCCACAACATGAACAGTCTTCCAAGCATCCTGAAAAGCCTACAACCAGGACAGGATAAAATAGATGAATGGGACCTTCTAAGAATCAAATCCCCATGCACATCCAAAAACTTTCCCAACAGGGTAAAAAGGGAAGACGCAGACTGGGAAAAAATATTTGGTAATGACATGTCTGATAAGGGACTTATATCTAGAATTTATAGAAAACTTGAGTGCCACGACAAGATAAAGGTAAACAAAGCAGTTGTAAAATGGGTGCAGGGTATGAACAGATACTTCACCAAAGAAGACATTCAGATGGTGAACAAATACATGAAGAAATGTTCAAAATCCCTAGCTCTAAGAGAGATGCAAATCAAAACAACTATGAGATAATATCTCATCCCAGTAAGAATAGCAAAATTCAACACAGCCACAAACAACAAATGCTAGCAAGGTTGTGGAGAAACTGGAACCCTTATTAGGGGAGTGTAAAATGGTGCAACCACTCTGGAAGGCAGTATGGCACTTTCTCAGAAAGTTGGAAATAGAAATACCATTTGACCCAGCAGTTCCACTACTGGGAATACACCCTAAATAAACCATAACTGCCACCCAGAGATATATATATACACACCCATGTTTATTGCTGCTATGTGCGCAGTAGCAAAGAGTTGGAAACAACCTAAGTACCCATCAGCAAATGAATGGATAGAGAAGCTGTGGTATATTCACACAATGGACTACTATGCTGCATTGAAAAAGAAGGAATTTGTGAAATGTTATACAAAATGGGTAACCATGGAGGACATTAAGCTGAGTGAAATATCTCTGTCACAAAAGGACAAATACTGCATAGTGCCACAGTGTTAAAACAGGATTGACATCGGGGTTGAGGGGAACCTAAGAAGAGAGGGGATAAATAATGTATACTGCATTGAAACAGATGAAGGAGAGAACTGTTTAAAAGGAATATATGATTAGGTATTATTTTCATGACAAGATTCCAGAAAAAGAAATGCATAATAAAGTGGACTGTGGACTTGGGGATGGGGGATTGTATAGCAATGAAAGAATTTTTTTTTTTCATTTTGGAGAGAGGGGCAAATGGTGGGGGAAGGGTTGGCAGGGAGGAAAGTGTGCAACAATGAATGAATGAGAAAAAAATTAAATGGGAAGAATATGCTGTAAAAAATATGTATTAAAAAATAGAATTTAAAACATACGTTTTAAGACATACAATTCACTCATAACATTCCTTCCTTTGGCTTCTCCAGAATTTTTTGTCTTTCAACATGCAAACCACATTCATCCTATCTTATCATCCCCAAAATCTTAAATCAATTCTAAGTGCAAAATATTATCTTCCAATATCAAATATAGATGAACTTATCTTTCAACCTGGTGAATAATTTTGTTTTATGTAAACCTGTGAAATTTAGCAAGTTATCTGTTTCCAATATGCATTAGTAGAACAGGCAAAAATGTAAGCTTTTTATTAAAATGGAAAATTGGAGTGAAAGGAGGGATAATAAGAACAAATTAATAACCTGGCAAAACAACTTACATTAATTCTCCAAGATCATAAAGAATTCTCTGTTCTCTGAATCCATCTAGGTAATTGCCTCACTCTCCCAATTTGAATGTTGACGTTGCTCTGTGGGTTCTAGACCTCACAGCTTCTGGAAGCTCCTCACTGCTTTGCATCAAAAACTCCTAGACATCAGCTCTGCCTTCCCAGCCCTGCGACAGCTCTGTTGACCCTGAGTGGCTCAGTTTTCTAGTTCATTTGAGAGACAACCAAAAAGTCTTAAATATGACCCTGCAGGCCCTGTTCTTCTGTCCCTTGGGCATGGTAGCTCTTCCTCTCTTCATCTTTGGATGACAGCTGTATCCTCCTGGAACATCTTAATTAATAGCAGTTCCATGTTCTAGAACTGAGTTGGTAAAGGTTTGACCCTTTGAAATCCAGGAGGTTGTTACCTGCTCTGTGAGATCTAGGAGACCATGTGCCCAGACTTTGAAACCCTGAAAGTGATGACCTTACCCTCTAAGACTGAGGCAGCTTTCCTTCCTGTGTTCCTTCCAACAATTCTTTGATCTCTGAGCTGCTCCAGGGATTTTTTTTCTTCTTCATTTTTCATGGAAGACAATAGATGTAACTCTTTTGCTCTGTTTCCTCCTTGCAGAATTGTAAGCATTTTTTCCCTTTCATTCCTTCTCTTCCGTTTAAGTCTAAACTGGTGGGTGCTCTTCTGTGGATATTGATTCTATATCAATCACAGGCTTAATTTCTTTAACAAAATTATGTTTAGGGGAAAAAAATTTGCGTAGTCATGTCCTTGGTTTAAATTAAAAAACGTGTTTTAGTTTGTACACCTGGATTCTCCGAATCTCCTTTTTCTGTTTAGCATAGTTTATTTATTTTTTAAAAAAATTTCTGCCTGATATATTTTTAAAAATTTTTATTTTATATTGGTTTGACTTTTTGCACAATTTAAGTCTCTTTCCTCTTACACTTTATTAAGCAGCAAGGAGCATCCTTTAAGATTTTGCTTTAGAAATCTTCTCAGCCAAGTTATTTAAGTTCATCAGTTATAAGTTCTGCTTTCTACCAAACATTTGAACATAGTTCTGACAAGTTCTTTTTCATTGCATAAAATACATCACTGTTTTTCCTTTTTCCAGGCAGGTGTTATTTCCTTTCAAAGTCTCAACAGAAACACATTTCAGGTTCTCGGTACTGGTAACATTTTATTGCTGGAACATTATGTGTTCTTTAAGAAGTTTTTACTAGCTGTCCTCACTTCCAGATTTCTTGGCACAACTTGGTGAGCACATCCAGGGCAGTGTCTGTTTGTTGAAATATGTCAATTGGTTTTCCATCAGTTCCTGGGGCCTTGTTTTTTTGCCATCTTCCAAAGCAGCTTGAACTTCTTCCTTCATCACTGCAGGCTCTTGCTCATCATATATTGTTTCATGAAATTCTTCTGTGTCAGCCAATTCCTTCTGATACAGTGACTCTGTGTACTCTTTCTATCTTATTTTAATGCTTCCTGAATCTTTTAATATTCTGCCTAAAGCGTCCTTAAGTATTGCAACTCGAAGCTTGAATTTGTTCTTCAGTTCCTTCAGCTTAAGAAATGCTGAGTGAGTTCGGCTCATTTGATTTTCTGACTCCAGCTCTTCGCACATTTCATTGTAATACTTTACTATGGCTTCCTGCACTGCCCTTTGGAATCTTCTGTTCAACTCCTTACTATCTCGATTACTTCCCTTTGCTTTGGCTTCCCTGTGCTCTGGTGCAATATTCAGAGTTTCTTCTGACATCCATCTTTGTCTTTTCTTCCTCCTCTGTCTTTGCGATGACCTTTTGCATTTTTCCTGGATGGTATTCTTGATATCCTCCTCACTTCATTGTGAGTCATCACCAGAGTTGCTTATGATGCCCATAATTCTTTAAAAATCTCTTTGAGGCAATTTAGCCTCTTGTTGTTATGTGCTGTCAAGTGAGCTATGATTCACAGTGACTCTAAGAACAATGGATCTGAACCTTGCTCTCTCCTATGCCATCCTCATCATTTCTTCTGTACTTGAGTCCATCTTTATAGTAACTTTCTGAATCCATCCATCTTGTGGAGGGCCTTCCTCTCTTTTGGTAACCCTCCATCTTTCCAAGCATGATGTCTTTTTCCAAAGACTATCCCTTCCTCACAACATGCCCAAAATATGTGAGTTGAGGTTTCATTGTCTTTGAGATAAAAATCCTCATCGCTGAGCCAATCATGATAGATGGAGAAAAGATTGAAATTGGCAATGATCTCATCTTGCTTGGATCTACAATCAGTACTCTTCGTACCAGCAATCGAGAAACCAAAAAATATGTTGCATTGGGAAAATTTGTCAAGGACCTTTCCAAGATGTTAAAGAGCAATGATACCAGTTTAAAGACTAAAGTGCACTTGATTCAAGCCATGATCTTTTCAATTACTTGTTATGAATCTGAAGGTTGGACAGTGAGTAAGGATGACAGAAGAATCTATGCCTTTGAGTTGTGGTGTTGGAAATTATTGAACATTCTGTGTTGTTTTTACTGTGTGCTATAGAGTTGGAACTGACTCATAGCTGACCCTCCAGCAGCTTTAGAGGCAGTAAATCACATGGGAAGAGAGTGCCCATCTTTCGCCTGCATGTAAACTGCCAACAGAACAAACAAATGTGTCTTGGAGAATGTACAACCAGGATGCTCCTTAGAGGCAAGGATTTTATGATTGTTGTTAAGTGCCGTCAAATTGACTACAAGTCATAGTGACCCCGTCAACTATGAATCTGAACTCTGCCCTATCCTGTACCATCCTGACCATCCCTGACATCATTAGAGTCACTGTGTCCATCCACCTTGTTGAGGTCTTCTCCTTAATCACTAACCCTCCATCTTTCCTATCATAAAAATACCTTTCCTAGGATTAGCCGCTCCTAACAATATGCCCAAAATATGTGAGACAAAGTTGTACTAGCTTTTAAGCTCTATCAGCCTCTATTTAGCACCTAATTCCAAAACCATTTCTCTATTTTAAGTACCTGGTAGAGCATCACCCAACATTTCTAGTAGCAAATTTTTAGTTATCTACTGCCATTCTAACATAAATACTACAGGTTGATGGCTTTGACGCACAGAAATTTATTTCTTTATGATTTTATAAGACTAAAAGTCTGAATTCAAAGTGCTATGTCTCTAAGGGAAAGCTTTTATCTCTGTTGGCTTTGGGGGAACGTCCTTTTCTCCTCAGTTCCTGCTTCCTGGTTTCTTAAAAATTTCTATGTATCTTGACATTTATCTGTCTTTCCTCTTCTATTTATTTAATATCTTCTATATGTCAGGGGAGATTGACTTAAAACATCTCCTACTCTAAGACTGTCTCATTAACAGAACAGACAACTCATTCTCAAATAAAATTATAATTACAGCTGTAGAAATTATGATTTAAAACATCTGGACATATAGTGGGTATAATTCAATCCATATCAGAGAAGATCTAGTCTAGAGACAGATACAGTGTTGTAATAAGCAGAGAAAAGGTAGTTAAGAGAAGTGATGTGAGAAACAGGGGCAGGAAACTTTAAGAAGGATTTGGTGGAGTTGCTACAAATCTCATTTTGGTCATGGATAAGTATATAAGGCTAACTGTTGAGAAAGCTAATGGATGGGTGTAGGGTGGATATAAGAGGAGTCTTAGACCTGAGGTGAAGACAGGCATGATCTAGGAAGATGACACAAAAGAAAACAAGATTCTGTGATATATTTATTTCTCATCTGTGACACTTAGGAATATGGAATCAGTCGAGAGGAGAAACTGGAAATTGCTGTTGGTTTCTGTCTTCCACTCTTGCGGAAGATACTGCTTGACCTGCAAAGAACCCACGAGGATGAGTCTGTCAACAAGCTGCATCCCCTGTGAGGGAGGGCTGGGAGGGGTGCTGGATGGAGGGAGGGGCATATTAGGAAGTTTTGGGGAACCAAAGCTGGGATAGCTTGAGAAGGCAATAATAGACGAGATTCTGGGATAGAAAGGAGAGGTTTTTGGGGTGAGTGGAAGGCATTTGGGAACGGGTGGGAGCAGATTATCTGACCTTGGAAATGATTTAGCTATTCTATCAGGTACTCTCGAGGAGTGCTTTCTCCAGGCCGCCATGTTCGAACACGTCTTTATTTCACCAGTGAAAGTCATGTCCACTCCCTACTTAGTGTCTTTCGTTATGGAGGACTTCTTGATGTAAGGATCATGTTTTTCATTCACTTTATGAACTTCTTTTATAAGTATTTTATATTCCTCTTCATGTTGTTTTTGGGTTTTGTTTTGTTTTTTTTTTAAAAAAAAAGACAACTGCAAACTTTCTCTGTGTTTCCACCCGTTCCTTGGCTGTTGGCTTACGTACTCTTGTCTTTGGTAGGAGACTCAAGATGCACAATGGCAGCGTGCCTTGGCTTATCTTAGTGCCATCTCAGAACTCAATTACATGACCCAGATTGTCATCATGCTTTATGAAGACAACACACGGGTGAGGAACTAGGAGGATGGGATGAAGAGATGGTTCTTTCTCTCAACCTCCAAGCCCTTTTGGAAAGAAAAGTTTCTTATCCTTAGAATTTCTACAATATGGCTAGATGTTATAGCTAGAACACAGCATGGCAGAGTATTCAGGAAGCTCCTTTGGAACAAACATGTGGTTTTGGATAATGTTAAGAAGCCAGAGAAACACTCTAGACTATAGCTCTGGCATTGGGGAAGACAGGTAATTCAGGATATGAAATAAGAGTATTCCTTAGAACTCTTGTTATAATGAGTCTTTTTCTCTTCAATTATTGTTTCACATATTTTGTGATCTGGTTCTACCAAGATTCTTTAAATGTGCTTCTGTATATACTGTTGTTGTTGATTGCCTTTGAGTCAAGCATGACTCATAGCAATCCTATGAACAAAAGGCTTGAAACCCCTTTAGAACTATCCAAATTTATCAAAGTGTGTAGAGTTTCCAGAGGCATGTTGTTTAGGAGGTGGAATTAGCAAGGCTGAATTACTGGGAGAGATATATGAGAAGGGTCATAGAACTGCAAGTTAGAAAGTCGTGTGGAGTGATGACCTAGAAATGTTAAACATAAGAGAATGAACAATCAGTAACATTCTGTCTTGTTGCCATTGGATTGGAGCCAACTCATAGCTGATCCTCCATGGGATTTCTGAGGATGTAAATCACCTGAGAAGAGATTGCCCATCTTTTTCCCAAGAAGCTGCTGGTGGATTTGAACCATCAATGGTTGCCTTTGGGTTAGCAAAGCAACTCCTTATGTACTACACCATCAAAGCTCCAATGTCTGTAAGGTTAAGGCTAAAGTTAAAGCCCTAGCAAGTCAACCCTAAGAGAGAAAAACACTGAAGCCCTCCATCTTGATAAGGTATATTCTCTTGGGTGCCTCTCTGTTGCCCTCATCTGTCCTTCAACCACCAAATGCAGTCTCTTCCAACTGCCCTTTCATCTGGTAATGCCTGCAGGATCCCTTATCAGAGGAACGATTCCATGTAGAGCTGCACTTCAGCCCTGGTGTGAAAGGTGTTGAGGAAGAAGGCAGTGCCCCAACTGGATGTGGATTCCGTCCAGCTTCTTCTGAGGTGGGTCATGATGCTAGATTTGTGAATAGAAGACTTAGGAACCTAACGATGGGAAACAGTAACAGGGAGGTAAAAGCGTTGAGTAGTATAGGATTAGGATGCTAGAGGACATTGATACATCTCTTAACCTGTATGCATGTTGAACAGAATGAAGAAATGAAAACAGATCAAGGCAGCATGGAGAATCTGTGCCCTGGGAAGGCACTGGATGAGCCAGACCGGGCATTGCAGACTTCACCTCAGCCCTTTGAGGGCCCTGGCCTCCCAAGGAGATCACCTCTCATTCGTAACCGAAAAGCTGGCTCTATGGAGGTAATGGAAGGGGCTTGGGACAAAGTGGGATATTCATAGGACAGTGTCTCTGTGTCCTTTGAGTCTTGTTAGGGTGCTACTAGGGAACCACTCGTGGGGACTGAGTCTTCCTGCACTAAATGGATATGTTTTATTTACTCTCTCTTTCACACTTGTCCTGTCAATAGATCTCCTTCACACTCATTGGTATTTCTGAGATTAGAAGGTTGTTACAGAGAAGTGTCTGAGAAATAAGAGTATTAAGAGATAAGACTGAGGAAGAAATACAGTAGAAACAACATGAACTAGAAATATCTGGCAGTCCTAGGTTTAAAATCCAAATCTTATTTTTAAAAGCTGTGTGACCTTGCATAGGTAACTTCTCCAATTCTCAAGTTCTTTTCATCTGTAAAAAAAGGAGTACTAAACAGCAACTAGGTAACAATATAAATAATATTAAAGATCAGTTTCTCTCAATTTCTTTGCTTCCTTGAATAAAACTTAATGTAGTCAGGGACAAAGACTTGTACTTTAGTGGAATCCCTCAGGTTTATCTATTATCTGAGAAAAGGAATCAAGTTTAGAGTTCTGTCTTCTCTCATTTTTGTTTTGATGAAGAGGTTTATCTGCTTGGTCCTTTGTTTTGAAATTCATGAAGTTTGTTTTTATTCCCCCCCCCCCTTAGAATGTTTCTTGCTCTTTTTGGCCAATGATACTACTTTTGACCCTATTATTTCTTCTTCTCTCTGTCTGATTTTATTCCTCTTCTGTCCTGATGAATCTGTTCACCTGGCTCTGCTCCAGTCTCTGTCTTGGAGAAATTGGATTTCCCCCCCCCTCATTTTAAGGCTGTCTCAGGAGAATCTTATAACTAACTTTATTCATTCAGAAATTTAAAGTTTGTATTTTGTAGAAATGAGAAGAAAAACTGTAGTTTCTCTTTTGGATTCATCCTTTATTTCTCATTATTATAAGAGATTTAGAGTTATGAATATACCTGATTCTTTTAGGTGAAGCCTGTATTATTTCCTCTGAACTATAGGTGTAATGGATATTCTATAGGCTCAGATGAAGTAGATCAAAGAAGAGGACCTATACTCTTCCAAGAGTAAACTGTTCCTCCATATCTACATATGGCCCCATTGATTTGATCTGCTAGTCTCCTCATCACTATTGTGCTTGATTCTTTTTGCCTTTTGATTTAAAGAGTCCTGAGACACAAAAAGAAAGCTCTCTACCAGACTTGGTGAGACTGACTTCTTTAAAGGACTACAGCCAACTTTCTTTTATAGTCTCTCATTCCTTCATTTTAGTTACTACTAGTGCTGCCTATGCTCTGGCTCATCTAGGTTATGATTGCTTAGGATGTGCTCCTGAGCTTTACAAGAAAAACTTTTCTTGCATTTTAGTCACACAGCCTTATAATAATATAGCTTCTCCTTGCTCTATAAAGCAGTGGTCATGCTTATATTTGTTGCCTATAATCTTTACTCCATCTCTTCATTTCCTCTTGTCTTATATTTTTGAACTGTTTTAGATTCTAAAATCTGTGATCTTCAATGTGTCTATGCCCTAGGTGGTCCTTCTCTCTAGTTCTGTAACTAGCTTTGCCCTATGGGCATTGGGGCTTTTGGGAGTCTGGGGGTTAAAGGAGACGTGACCGGCTTTCCACCCGGTCTGATTGCAGGTCATGAACATGCAGTGTACGGGGAGCCTGGACCTGATCCCCTTGCGGGGACGGCGCCGCCGGAGGTCAGGAGACCTCCCCCGGCCTTCCCCAGCCATCGGCCTACAGCCCCGGGCTGTGTCTACCACTCACCTGGCGTCCTGCACACAGGTGTCCCCTCCCTACCTTTTCTTCCTTTTCTGCCTTCTGTCTTTGCCTTTTGGGATCTAGGGACACAGAACACTATCTTAAGTGGGGTGTGTGTATGTTGGGGATTCTGTGAATGGGCCCTTATGAACTTTTTGTAAATCTGTTTCATGCTTCAAGAGTGAGATATTTGGAGGGGAGGGTTTCTTGGTTCAGATAAGAAATTGAGTATGGTTGCCCTGTCTGTGGAGAAAAGAGAGGGTAGCTAGAATTTATTTTTTATTTGTACTCAAGTTGTTGTGATAACCTTCTTTGGGTCCTGGGGAGAGAGAGGTAAACATTAGAGTGTCTTCTCTGCTGAACACTAGGAAAGGTGAAATAATTACTTTTCAGATTTGGGATAAGAAGGGCAAGGAGATATCAGATTCATCTTGGAAATAGAAATATTGTCTAGTATAGAAGGATCCCTTGGGCAGTTTCCTCCTTCAGATCCATTCTCCATTCTCTTTCTTTCTTCTTTACTGATCAGAATCCTCTGGTTCTTCTAAATTTTCGGACACTGCTTGGCTTTGTAGGGGCAGGAATTCAGGACCTGGGTTTTAGACTTCTAAGTTGAGGTAGAAAAATGGTAATACAGAGTCCTTCTTTTCCAGGTGCTTTCTGAGACTTCATCCTCAAGGCCTGGAGGATACCGGCTCTTTTCATCCTCACGACCACCAACAGAGATGAAGCAGAGCGGCCTAGGTATGATTTTCTGGCATCTGTCACCCAATGTTAGAAAGGGAGTATCTATCTTTTATAGTTTTCTTATAAGAAATCTTAGCTTTGGACATTGGGATCATCTAGTCAGCAGAATTACCAGTTGGAGACAGGGATGATGAATTGGGGAAAAGCCATTGTTGTGTATGCTGAGTTGAGTCAGAACCAACTCATAGCTGAACCTCTGGTGGGTTTTCAAAGGCAGTTAATCACAAGGGAGGAAATTTCCCATCTTTCTCCCCTAGAGTAGCTGATGAATTCAAACTGTGCTCCTTCAGGATTGCAGCACAGCTTTTTACCACTAGGCCACCAGAGTTCCCTGGGAAAAGCCATACTAATTATATTTTGGCATGAACTTTGGTTGAAATGATTGTTTCCTTTCCAGGAAGGTATTTGTCTTTTAATTTCTACACCAATTCCAATTTCTATAGCTGAAGGCCATTTTTCTGGCTTCTCCTCTCATTCCTTATATGTCCCTCCAGCCTAGCCCAGACCTTAAGGGGCCATGGAGACTCTGAACCTTCAGAGTTATCAGAGACAGAGCTATAAATAGAGGTATTTGTGACCCTTGTAACTGATACTTCTCACTTGGAGAACTTATTACATGTCTTCTCTGAAATCTATGTTTTTCATATACTTGCTCTGACCTCTTCTACTTCTATATTCTCTCCTTCACCCTCTCCTAATCCTGTAATTTTCCTCATTTCCTTCCTGAAAATTATAGGGAAAACCCAAGACTGATAGAGTGACAGAGGCTTCTTTCAGGACTTAGAGATTCCCCCCCACCCCCGCCCCATCCCATCGATGGAGTGGAGAGCATCATGAAAATACCTTTTTGAAATGGTGTGAAATACACCCCAAGCCTCAAAGGATATTGTATTCTTTGGATGGAGGAAGTGATTCTTAGGAGAAGTTCTTTCTGAACATAGTATTTTGTGAGTTGTAATTAGAATCAGAAGCTAAAGACAATTATGTGAGGTCTGGACCTGGTCTCCTACTTCCTTCTATCATATTACCCCATTATTCTCTCCATTTAACTCCTCTTAGATTTTTTGTTACCTTTACATTTGGGACCCTTTTCTGTTTGGGCCCCCAAATGGTCAACATTTGGTCCAGCAAGGGCAATAAAGGTTTTGTTAATTTTCTAGGCTAATTTTATGCAGTTAGGTTGAATTTCAGGTCCTTGAAATGAGGTCAGTGGTTTGGGACATGACAAATGTGAAGATCAATAATATGGATCTCTCTTTCCAGAAGTCTCAGAGAGAGTAGGCTGCTAAGGTAGTCGAGGGGGAAGTATATGTGGCCTAATTAATGTGATACTGTCAAGAACCAGTCAGAAGAATGGACCTGGTACTGGTTGACAGATGGTGGAGGTAAAGTAGAGGCTCTTCTTGGAGATGAACTGAAGCCTGGGCAGATCAACATTGGCAGAACTGTGCCAGGAAATTATTCAGAGAAGGAAGTAATTGTCGAACAGAGCTTGAAGTATTTTGGGACAGAGCCACCTCTTTTTAGCTTCTCTGAAGAAAAGAAGCCAGATTTAACAATCTTTATTGCTATCTGAAACTCTATTCTAAAGTCTGATTGAGCATGTTGGAAAAGTTAACTGCAAAGCGGAATTCCAGGGTGGAGATTATCAAACCATTGAACTTCATAATTTCTTTGGTGACCCCAAAATCTTGGGACTCCTAAAATCATGTTCCCTTCTTTGTGAGCTCAAAAGACATTGACTTCCTCGTCCCAAATCCATTTCCACTGTAAGTGTTAAGTTTGCAAGGCAAACACACACAAAACCTTGGCTAAAATGGGGTTGGAAGCAGAAGAGCGAATTTCAAGGATTTCAGTCTCAGCTTTGCCTCTACCTGCTCTATCTGACCTTGTGAGTTTAAGTTGGTGAGAAATCCATGGTGTTCTAACCCTACCTTAGACCCAATGCTAGGGACAGTATTTAGCATAGTTAATTTTCTTTGTAGAGGTCTTTTTAAGTTTTATGTATTTTCTGATTAGCAAGTTCTTTTACCTCTCTTCTAAATTCTGCATGTGGACATCAAACTTTACAAGACAGATAGTAAATTTTAAGATCAGAAAACTTGTCTTTTTGGTTGTCTCTTCCTCACTGAGCTCACCTCAGTAGAGTGTTCAGCACATAGTAAGTGTGCTCTACTTATAATCAATTCATTCTTCAGTTTCTGTCAATCTTGTCTTCAGAAGTATTGCCTTGTTTCCACTTGATAAAAAAATTATTTTCTAGCTGTGTGTAATTTGTCCTTAGAGTTAAAGAATAGATTCCAGTTCATCTTATCTCCTAACAAAATATGTGCCTTGCGCAAATGAGAACCTTTTTTGATCTCTAAAATGAAAAGGTTGAACTAGACATTTGAATCCTTTAAAAATTCAGTGGGCCTTATATTTTCTTGGGAGAGTTAAAATGAACCAAAAGTAAGTGAAATGAAGGGAATAATGAGTGAATTTAGAGAGAATTGAAAAGATGCCAGATGAGTGCCCAGATCTAGCTTTTAGTTTCAGTCATAGCTCTTCCCTTTTAAACATACAAGGCACTAGATTTCTGGGTTTCTCAAACCTTATATCTATGATAAAAGATATTGAATCAAATCTAGAAGTTCTACATAGAACTACCAAATCTACCTATTCTTTAGGCTTCTCTGAGAACCACTGGGAGAACTTAGTCTATGACTTTAAGTAGCTTTTAATATCCTAATATGACTAACCCTGCATTTGTAGTGACCTCTTGTTTGTGCCGTATAGCTTTTTCAAGAGAATCCCGACTTGCTTGCCTAGTATGACTATGAATAGTAGTGAAAGCTATTTGTGGTTATGTCTCGCAGCCACATGATAGTGGTTCTAAATAGCTGTGTGTATGTTTTAATGTTGTCATGTGAAGTTGTGTATACTTTCATCTGGTAGTTGCAGCTTTGTGTGGCTACTAATATACTCCCGGCTTTGCAGGCTCACAGTGCACAGGGCTATTCAGCACCACAGTGCTGGGTGGCTCTTCCAGTGCTCCGAATCTACAGGACTACGCCTGCAGCCATGGCAAAAAGCTACCACCTGCCAGTCTGAAGCACCGAGATGGTATGTGGGTGGGTTTGGGAGGGAGGGAACATCTTTCTTCATTTGTTCCTTATGAGGACATAGCTCAAGAACTATTCATGTTTATGGTGTCACTGACATTGACCTTGTAACAGAAGTTTTCTTCATCCCTTATAGATGGGAAAAAGACCATGACCCCATCAACCCATCCATTTGCATTACCTTTTGCCTTACAAATATTACTTATTTATGCTTATCCCTTCATACAGCCCTGCTATATCAATGTATTCCACTTTTGTACTCTTTCCTGGACTCTGGCCTGTAGGAGTAAGGACCAAGGAGGCTAAGCCATAGTCAGGAAGAATGTAGCAGAGCCTTGATTAGAATCTAGGATACCAGATTTAGGAATGAGAAAGGTCCTCATTTAGGGCAGGAATGATGATATGGAAAGAGATTGGGGAGTTGGATGGAACTTTCTGTGAAGGTTTTGTTTCCATATGACCAAAAAGAGGATGTGGTGGTGAAACAAGGATTGTTTGTGGGACAGTCTTGTGTTAGAGATGACACACAGAGTCTTGAAAGGAGATTATACCAAGGGAAAAGACTGAGTCAGAAAATAGTTGGAAAGCTGAGTTTTGCGGGAGGGAGCAATTATTATAACTAACTGTAAAAAACCAAGTAAAAAAGAACAGAATATATTTTGAGCAGATTCCAGAATAGATGTGGGGGCCAAGGGTGGGTATAATCCCCATGATGTCTTTTCTCCCCAGAGCTCTTGTTTGTCCCGGCCGTAAAACGATTTTCTGTGTCGTTTGCAAAGCATCCGACTAACGGTACGTTTGCTTCTGACTCAACATCATTTCTCCTCATCATATCATCTCCAGAAACTTAACCTCTGAATTCTGACACTAATTTGTCTTTTCTTCCACTGTGTTGACACCCTGTTCTTTTTTGAATGAGTTATTCACTAAGCATCCCTCTGGGACATTGTCCTTGTGAAAACCTTAGCCTTGGCTGTAGCCTGGCTGCCCTCTTTCTGTGGCAACTCAAGGTCTTACTTTCATAACCACCTTCATCACCACTGTGTCACTTCTGCCAGAATCACATCAAAATATGAAGCCTCTCCCATTTCCATCACATGATTGCCAGACTTTATACAAGCATGATAATAATTCCCTTTCTTAGGAATAGTATTTTCTAGCTCATCCCATTTCTTTTTTTTTCCCCCCCTACACCTCAGCTCATCTTTGTTTTTTTTTTTCTCCAATTCTTTTCTTGGGGTGGAATGACCAGTTCCTCCTTTGGAGCAGTACTGAAGTTCCCAGCTCCCAAGCTTATCCACAGGGGTATTAGTCTTAAGCATCGTTTCTCATCTTCACATTCCTGTATCCATCCATTGTGTGTACGTACTTTGTGTGGCTCTTGTGCACCTGACATCTGCTTTATGTTACTACTAACTTAGTACCTGGGCCTAAGAAGTAGAACCCTAGATTGATTTGGGGCAAAAGAAAGAAGTAGACAGTGGTAGGTAAAGGACAGAAAAATTGTATGGTGAGTTTTTAAATGTAGTTTCCATGTAGGTCCAGCCTACATATGGCACTGCTTTCTCAGAGAAGCTAAAAGTGAGGGCTGAGATATTTTCTAGGGATTCTAGGAGAGCTTAGGTATGAATACTATTTTAAGAACATTAAAGAACTCAGTCTACTGTACTATGGTGGGGGAATTTGGAGATCTGTCAAAAGGACGGTGGTGTCTTTGTAAGGTCTGACGGGATCCTAGGGCTTACTCCTTGTTCAGGTTTTATCTCTTGTATCATTAGCTTTTGCTCTGCAATGACCTCTAGATAATCCAGTTCTGTTATATTCAATTTCTTCTGTCCAAGAGCTAAGATTCTTGGAAGGAGTTACTTCATTGTCTGACTTCCTGGCTAGAGAAACCTCTAGGTGCTTATCTCCTGTACTATAACCAGTGGCAATAGCTTGATTTTAGCCCAAGCATGTTATGCATCTTTACTAGGCACTGCTGAAATCACTCCCTTACCCAGATCAACCTTAGCTTCCCTAATTTATCCTTCTACCCTGGTATTCCCATTTGTGCCTGTGTTAGGAGGTTCTTGGTCTGTATGGCATGGCTGAACCTGCTCATTTAGGTTAACATTCTTCTGGCCTTTGTGTATTACAGTCATCTGTGCAGTGGAACCTGGTGCACCAGTCCCAGAGCCTTGTAGTTGAATTGAGGAGACATTTCAGTTAAGGTCCATAATATGCTAACAGAACCTGGGAATCTTGAAATCAAAACTTGTTGCTGTCCGTTCGCCTGCAACGAACAGTGACACCCTGATGGGGGTAAGCACAATGTAGACACACCACTCCGGGAGCCATTCAGAGAGTCAGTCCAGCTCAACTTTACTGGAGGCTGCAGCACACATTTATATACGAGCAAGTAAACAGGAAGACAGGATAGGGTGGGCTTGCAGACATGGGATATGTGGGACGTGAATTGGATAGGAGAACCTCAGCCTCATGTGGACCATGCCCAGCTCAACAGATGTGGCAGCCATCTTCCCAGGTGGCAAGCTTTCTTAAGCCAGTATGACCAAACACAGGAGAGTTTTCTCTACCCTGTATTAAAGGTCATTGGAAGGCTTTACTTATCTGGAGCTAGGTGATCTGTTCTTGCCAGAGGCCCTCCCTTCCTCCCCAACATTCCCCAACAAGAACTAAATCAAGAACTAAGAACAAGGACCTCCTAGTTCTTAGGCTTAATGAGAAAAGACCCAAGTTTGTAAAATAGATCCTCAAACAATATATTTCTAGTCCCCTAAAGCCTTAGTTAAGAGCCTTGATAGTTGAAGAAACGGAAAATCAATTCTAACAAAAGAAGAGAGGAAAAGAAACCTGCATAATTGAGGTATAATGTAGGAGAAAGCTATTCAAGATCTCCTAAAATACTCCAAATTCTTCCTCAAGGATCTTTTTGTCCTTCTTGTGCTTGAATCAGAGTCCATGACATTCCTGTTGAAGCTATTATGTCTCTTATTGAAGATATTTAAAATTTAATTTGGTCCTCAAGAAAATATGAAGGCTATATACCTTCACAGTCAAAATCTTGCTCAGCTGACCAAGAAATTATGAACTGAATATTCTGTCTGCAAATTCTAAAGGAGATTAGTCACAACAATGTGACAACTTGTTGTTCCATCATCTCTCCTTATTGTGATGCCTACCTTTGAAACAGAACCTGGAAAAGCTAGACTTGGCCTTGGAAAAGAGGCAAGGCAATGCTGTCTCATTAGTTTGGTAAGGAGGGTAGTCCTCCCTTAGCCAATCCTTATTTCTGTCTTTGATAAGTTTCTGTCACATCTGACTTGACTACATCAAGTATACAAGTATGGCCCATTACTAAACTGCATGCTGAACTCACCAAAGTAAACTAATACAGTGGAAGAAGACCTATGGCTCACCCTATCCAGAATGCCAGGGTGTGCCAATAAGATTTGCCCTACCACTGCTCCATATAGCATTATGACCGTTGGCACGGTTAGTGCCTGAATAGAAATGAAATCTGTTTTACCATCCAAACTAGGATCTCTGGAAAGCCTGGTTTCATGTAAAATAACTGTATAGGGCCAGTTCTCGACTGTAAGTTCTAAGAAATTATCCTAAGCAATTTGGCTTCTACTTTGTTGAATCTCTATAGTTGATTTTCTGTACCAACGCTCTGTACCCAAATTCTTACCTATCCTTAGATTAAATTTTAAAACACTGTGTCTTTTTTCCAAAGATCTTTATCTGGATTTTTCTATACCTTCACTTTCCCACCCTAGTCTTAATGCCTTTTGTTGCTAAATTGCAAGTATTTACAAAGTTTTCCCAAGAACTAAAATAATGAATCATACAGGATCAAAGCTTCTCCACTCACCAGCTAAACAAAGTGCAGTTAGACTCATCAGCAATGGGAAGAAAATAAAAATTATCAGGCTTTTAGGCTCTTTGGATTCAGTGTCCTCTGAAATCCTGAGACTTGGTAAGCCTTTGTTTAAAAATCTGCTTAACAGAAGTAAGGCAAAGAATGATTGAGTAATACTGGCATTTTCATGTATCGGTTCCATTTTTTACATGCTTTGTTTTAAAAAGAGTCTTATACTTGGTCTTCTGCCAACTTCCTATACCAGTTGCCTAGTACTAATTCTTTCTGTGGATATCTTAGAGTCTGGTCCAGAGGGCCTGACTTTATTTAGCCTTCAGGAATATTTTTAAGCTTCAGACATTTCTCATTATCCTATACCATTCTTCACCATCTTCTTGAGGTAACTATGAATCTTTCATCTCTATTTCGGCCTCATAAATATGTTCTTCCTAAAGGCAATCTTTAACGAGGGTTTACCCAGGAAAGATTAGGCAAGGCTCCTAGCCACAGCACTGACAACTCACCCTGTTCCAAATGATGTGGCTACTCTTTTGCAAGCACAGACTGCATTTTCCTCAGCAGAAGGGGAGGGCCTTGCTGTGTCCTGCGATCTCACTATCCCTTTCTTTAAGAATCACTGTGTGATGCCAACACTCATCTTTTCTACAAGAGATGCCCAGTGGCTCTGCTTTTCTCTTAACTCACCTTGGAACTAAGCAACCATCCCCCCTTAACCCCCCAGTATGCTTGTGCCCCCCTCATTGTCTCTCCCTCTTCTCTTTCTTTATCTTTGTGCTTCCTGCTGTGGCCCCCCACCCCTTCCAGAGCTGCTGGATGACCAGCACCCTGTGGTCCGGTTGCTGCGCAGTTTTTCCTCTGACTGTCCAGGGGGCCGGCCAGTCTCCTTGGATGCCACGCTGGCGCATCACCTGCACCAGTGCTCCTACCACCTGCGCCTGTTCCGGAACTGGCTGCGCTCAGGCCAGGATGACCCCGAGTGCCTCTACGGTACCCCCTGCCACCAAGCTGGCTGCTTCCACTACCCTGGCTGGGACTGACTGCTTTGCTTATTGCACTTCTGGCAGGAGAGCCCACCTATGCCTTTCTCCTATTTCTGCTAAGATTATGTGATTTGCATTTAGTAGCTTGAATGGGATTGGGGCCAGTCTGTCTGGTAGCTATAGCACTGGCTGTTCATCTCCTTTCTATTCTCCTTCCTCCTCACTTGCTAACATTACCCATCTCCTACTTCTGTTCAGTTTAGGAGTAATCTCTTGCCCTACCTAGATCCTGTTCTTATCTCTATAACTTCTACTACCACCATCTTCTAGTCTAAACTTTTTCTACTCTGAGAACTAGAGACTGAGCACTCCTCTTCTCCTGCCACATAGTGGGCAACTGAAACACAGATATTTTAGAGACCCTATATAAATCCTTGAGCCAAAAAGGACCAAAGATTAGAAGATGGTCGGATAGAATCCTTTTGAATTACTGGCAAACTGAATCTTTCATAAATACTGCTGTCCTACATACCTTTAGTCCCTTTAAGAATATATTAAGGAGGCATAGGAAAGATTATTGTCTGAAAAAGTGGTTGGCAATATGTTTGTTTCTTGATCGTCCCATGAGGACTTTATCCTAGATCCTGTCAACACTGATAGGCCTACACTAGAATTGTTGGGTTGACAGCATAGACTCAGACTTTATTCTTTATTTTCTAGGGGGTTTGCCTCATTTTCCTGAAGCAATAGAGAGATCTTAACAATTCTGGGATCTTCCAGTGAGATCAGAAGGGAGAAGCTTTGATGTAATGGAAATGACCAAGAAAGAACTTCCATCCCCCAGCCTGATCATGCATGTGGTTTTCCTGGGCTGAGCTTCATGTATATTGCATGCCCTTTAGCTTGCTTCCAAATATTTTAGCCTTTCTACCCACATCATAAATCTGCATGAACCTCTTTTCAGATTTCATATACTTTCCCTTAATATGTTTCTTTTGTTCATGATCCTAAAATCTGCCATCTCTTCCTAGCTCCATGACCTCCCTACTCATGTTAGATCTTACAATTTCACCCTTTACCTCTGGACCCTTGTTTTATTCCCTGACAAAGCATAAGGAGCATTGCAGGTGCTTACCCTACTGGAATTCGGTTGATTCCCCTGCCCCACCCCCACCCCATAGAATGTTTTACGCTCTCCAGAGGTAGGACATGAGGTGATTTGATTCACCTAGAGGCCTGGTGGATAAAGTTTTTAGGTATTCTTCAGGTGAGAGAAAAGACTCATCTAAAGCCTCTAAAGAGTTCCCTCTCCTGAGAATCTTGGATACTTCATACTCCAAAAACCACAGCCTTTTCTGAGGACTGTCAGGGTTTCTCCATGCTTCCTTGGCCAATTGTAATATTTGGCAATTATAACATTGACTTTATCCATCTTTGCCTTAACAGGATTTGAAGGATGTTCCATGGTGCCTACCATTTACCCCCTGGAAACACTACATAATGCCCTTTCTCTGCGTCAAGTTAGTGAATTCTTGAGTAGAGTCTGCCAGCGCCACACTGATGCTCAAGCACAGGCATCTGCAGGTATGAATAATACTTTCATCTTCTGCTCTCACCTCTATCCTTACTTCTGTGCTTCCTAGAACAAGATAAAGCTATAAAGTTAAAAGATAGTAAAGAAACCCCCAAAAAAACTAACCAAACAAAAAAAAAAAGTTAGGCACTTCTAAGAGACACAAAAGTGACTTGACAAAAACTCCATGGCACATAATGAGAATTTTAATCCTCTAGGACTATACTTACATAAAAAGACTAGCTGAAAAGTATGCTCTTTATTTCTCCCTTCTGGAAAGTACCCAGAATATGTATGATGATTGCTTTTATTTCACAGTATTCTCTAACCCCCATCATTCTTTGGTCAAGGAAACATTTCAATGCTTGAAAAAAAAAGTTTCATAGGCCAACTTGAATCATAGAAATATAAATCCTTTACAAGTTAATTTATAAATTTGATATGATCCTTATACAAATGCTGCCATTTTTCTAAATTGAAAAAGTAGATTCTCAAAACGATACTACAAAACTTCCATAATTAAAACAATGTGTTGTTGCCACACAAGTGTACAGAATAATGAATAGTAATAGAATAATAATAGAAAATCTAAATATAAAAGAAAAATTTTTTAAAAATAGAAAATCTAGAAATTGATGAAGTTAAAACAACCAAGAAAACCCCATCACATCGCAACCTCATGTGTTTCAGATTAGAGTTTTCAAGACTGTGTCAAATGGTGTTCTGGGAATGGAACACAGAAGAATGATACTGCATTCTTAGCTAAAGCGACACTTTCTAATTCTAGCCTCAAGTACAATATTACTAATGAGAGGATATTATCCATACACAAAAAATGAATACTTGTTAATACAACTATTATTCAAATAGGTGTTTCTGCATCTATAATCAAATAGGAGGAAATTGAAAATTTTTACCAAATCTTGCAGTCTGAAATAGACCAAACATGCAATCACAATGTGTTAATGATAATTGATAACTAGAATTCAAAGTTGGAAACAATGAAGAAGGAATAATAGTTTGAAAGTATAGACTTAGTGAAAGAAATGAGGCTGGAAATAGAATTATTGGATTTTATATGTTCAATGATTTATCTATTATAAATATCTTTTTTTAAAAACACAAATGGCAACTTTGCACATGAACTTCACCTGATGGACTGAATAGGAATCTGACTACATCTGTGGAAGGATTCGTTGAAGAAGTTTAATATTAGCTTCAAAACTAAGCTGGGGGCAGACTGTGGAATAGACCTTCAGCTACTCATATGCAAGTACAAATTGAGACCAAAAAAAATGAGAAAAGTCCATGAGAACCAGAATAGGATCTTGACTCTATTCCACCTGAATTTTAATCATGTTCAGAATAAATTTTGGGGGGAAAATGTCTGAAGCATGGAACACCAACGATTGAAGACCAGTTGAGTTATGGGATGTGTAAAAAGAGCAAGGGCCGTGTGGGGATGGCCATATCTGAGCTTTACCTACTTCATAAAGGGAAACTATCCCTGTCAACATCATCACAAAACCAATTCCTATGAAGTCAGATATGTCTTCCAGACTCCTATACCTTTTTCTACTCATCTCAAAATCAGTCTTACTCTTTACTGGGTCCAAAATCTGACTACTGCAATAGATCACAGAACTGTACTGAGGAAGTAGAAAAAGCTATAGTTCAGGTAGCTGAACATAGTCACTCAGTCAGGACAGCTTCCCGAATATTCTCACTGGTACCTCAGCCTTGATTTTTAGGCCAGTATTACAAAGTTCTAAGTCCTGCCAATTTTTAATTTTCCCCTCATGCCCCTCAGTTGTAAAAAAAAAAAAAACTAGACAAAGGCTCTTAGCTCTGGTCTGTATGCAGGGAGGTAGTAGTCAATTCCATCTCATGTTGGCTCTCTGGTCCTTTTCTTCAACTCCTATGGCTGTTGCTCTGGTCTTGAAGGATGAGTTGCATTCTCTTGCTTATTCTTTTTTGCTAGAGGGGAAGATTTCTTCTTCTGCGGGATCTCTCAATTTAATGGTGAGACTAGCCAATCCTCTTGTGAATTGATAGATAGACAATCCCCTTGTGGATAGGCTAACATACCCGTTTCTCATATTCTTGCTCATTCACATGGCAAAGTCAAGTTCGGTGGCTCGGAAAGCCATTTTTTTTCTTTTTTCGGAAAGCCATTTTGAATAATAAACTCCACAGGGTGACATAAAAGATGTCATCCATGAAGAGAGAGCAAAAGGTAAATATAAAGCCAGGAGAAATAAAGAACTGAAAATGAAACTAAGACTCTGAAAATTGCACTAGAGCATTGAGAAGACAAAACAAAGAAAAGATGCTGAAATAAAAGAGTTAAACAGGAGATTTCAAAGGGCCGCTGAAGAAGACAGAACAAAATATTATAATGGAATATGCAGAGAGCTGGAATTGTAGAATAAAAAGGGAAGAACTCACTCTGCATTTCTCAAGCTGAGAGAGCTGAAAAACAAATTTAGGCCTCCAGTCACAATACTAAAGGATGGACCTGAGATGTTTGCTACAGAAGGTTAAGGATTACAGTCTTCAGTATGGATTGAAGCTCAACATCAAGAAAACAAAAATTTGCACCCCAATTAATAGCATCATGTAGATGGAGAAAAGATTGAGATTGTTAACCATTTTCAGTTTGCTTAGTTCCACAATCAACACTTTTGGCACCAGCAGTCACAAAATCAAAAGACAAATTACATTAGGAAAATCTGCTGTCAGGGACCTCTCCAGAGTGCTGAAGAGCAACGATGTCATTCTAGAGACCAAGGTGTGCCTAATTCAAGCCTTGGTCTTCACAATTACTTGCTATGCATTAGAGAGTTGAACAATGAATGACTAAGGATGATAGAAGAAGAATTGATGCCTGCAGTTGTGGTTCTGGAGAAGAGTATTGAACTGCCAAGAGAACAAACAGGTCTGTCCTAGAGACAGTGAAACCAGGCTGCTCCTTGGAGGCAAGGATTTTGAAGCTCTGTCTCATATACTTTGGATATATTGCCAGGAGGGGCCAGACCTTAGACAGGGATATCATGCTTGGAAGGGTAGAGGGACAGTGCAGGGGAGGAAGACCCTGGATGAGATGGTTTGACCCAGTGACTGGAGTAATGTGTCAAAGACAGTGAGATTGGCTAAGAGTAGAGCAGAGTTTAGAGTTGTTGTATATAGGGTCGCTGTGAGTCATAGGCAAATAACAACAAAAAGAACAATGGCAATATGTTGAGTGATCCAGGAGCATCAAAAGAAGACGGAGGAGTTGCACAGAGCTACTACACCAAAAAGAATTGACTGACACTGAAAAATTTCAGGAAGTACCACATAAACAGAGAACTGCCAGATGTGCAGGCTGGGTTTAGAAGAGGTTGTGACACTAGGGATATTATAGCTAATGTTAGATGTATCTTGGTTAAAAATAGAGAGTATCAGAGGAATGTCTTATCTGAGTTTAATTGACTATGCAAAGGCATTTAACTGTGTGGGTCACAATGAACTGTGGCTGACTGAGAAGAATGGGAATCCCAGAACACTTGACTTGCTTATGCAAAACCTATGCTTGGACCAGGAGGCGGTTGTCAGAATAATGCAAGGAAACACTGCATGGTTTAAAATCAGGAAGGGTGTGCATCCGAGATGTGTCCTATCTCCATACCTTTTCAATCTATATGCGGAACAAATAATCTGTGAGGTTGGGCTCTATGACAAGGAATGTGACATCAGGATTTGAGGGAGACTCATCAACAACCTGTGTTACACAGATGACATAACCTTGCTTGCTGAAATTGAGGAGCACCTGAAGCAATTGCTACAAGAGGTCAAGGACTGTAGCTTTCAATATGGATTGAAGCTCACCATCAAAAAAACAAAGTTTGGCAGCATTATAGATGGTGAAGAGATTGAGCTTGTTAACAGCTTTAGTTTGCTTGTCTCCACAACACTCTTGGTACCAGCAGCCAGGAAATCAAAAGATGAATTGCATTGAGAAAGTCTGCTGTCAGGGACACCTCCATAGTACTGAAGAGCAATGATGTCAGTCTGGAGATTAAGGTTCGTCTGATCCAGGCCATGGTCTTTGCAATTACATGCTATGCATTACAAAGCTGGACAATGACTAGGGATGATAGAAGGAGAATTGATGCCTTTGAGCTGTGGTGCTGGAGAAGAGTACTGAATACACCGTGGACTGCTAGGAGAACAAACAAGTTCGTCCTGGAGAGAGTGAAACCAGGCTGCTCCTTGGAGGCAAGGATTCTGAAGCTCCGTCTGACATACTTTGGACATGTTGTAAGGAGGGTCCAGTCCTTGGAAAGGGACATGTTGTTTGGGAAGGTGGAGGAACGGTGCAAGAGAGGAAGACCCTGGATGAGATGGATTGACTCAGTGACTGCAGTAATGGGGATAGGTGTGTCAGAGACAATACGGTTGGCTCAGGATAGTGCAGGGTTCAGAGCTATTGTACATAGGGTCACTATGAGTCGCAGGTGACTTGACAATACATAAGAACAATCAACAACAACCATATGAACAAAGAGCCAATGGTAATGTGAGATGGAGGGAAAAATAAGCCAATGGTAATGAAAGAAGACATTGAAGCTGCACTGAAGGCACTGGCAAAAATAAGGCCCCAAGAATTGCTGGGATACTGATTGACATGTTTCAATTAACACATGTTCCACTGGATATATTTATCAGTCTGCCAGATAATTGGAGGACAGTTCTCTGGCCTATTGACTGGAAGATATCCATATTTGTTCCCATTCCCAAGAAAAGTGATCCAATAGAATATGGAAACTATTGACAGTATCATTAATATCACATGCAAACAAAATGCTCCTAAAGATAATTCAAAAACACCTAGAACATAGATAGAAAACTTCCAGAAGTTTAAGCAAGATTTAGAAGAGGCTGTGACACCAAGGATATAATTTCTGATGTCAGATGGATCCTGGCTGAAAGGAAAGCATACCAGAAGAATGTCTATTTATGCTTTATT